AATGGCAAAGATAAAATAAATCTTTTTTTGACAACTGCACATATGCAATACTTACTTGTAGGTTCTGCTGTTTGAGATTCAGTTGTAGAGGAGCTTGTACTGGCAGGGGGTGCTAATAAAATGTAGAAGTATTAAAAAAAAACATTAAACCATTAAAAACCATTAAACCATTTAAACCATTTTGCATAAAATCATCACAGAAGTTAATAATGAGTAGAGCCCTAACATACAAAAATATGTTATAATAGAAAACAAACACAGCAAAATTCCACCACCTCTAATTAAGTTGGACCTATAATTATCATTTTTTTATTGAAATGTTCACACAATAATCTATGAATTTAAAAAAAAACTCACTTAAAGGAGCTGATGTTGGAGACACAGTTGATGGAGAGTTTGTTGTAGCAGAAACTGCTGGGACATCATGACAGGAACATATTTCTTATTATTGCAGATACTAATACTTGATTGCTCAGAAGGTGATTTGAAACACCCGAACTGCTGATTATTAAAATTATATACATAAATTATAATATCATTACTTACTTGTAGGTTCTGCTGTTTGAGACTCAGTTGTAGAAGAGCTTGTACTGGGATGAGATGCTGAAATATTTAATGCATTAAAAATATGGTAAACATTGTAGAAATATTGTTCAGACACTGTAAATCTATGTTATATACTTGTAGGTTCAACTGTTTGAGTATTAAAAATGTATTAAAAACAGAAACAATATTGCACAAAATCACAGAAATTGTGTTAAAAAAGAACGGATATTCAAAAAAGAAAAAAGCCCTTACTAAAATATAATATCATAGGTCATGATAGACACCTCTATTTAAACTGGACCTATACTTATCACTTCCCAATTAAAATGTTCACACAATGGTCAATGAATTAAATACTCACTTGAAGCAGCTGATGTTGGAGACACAGTTGATGGAGGGTTTGTTGTGGCAGAGGCTGCTGGGACATTGTGATAAAACAAATATAATTTTCTTACGTTTGTTGACATGTTTGCAGAAACTTTTTGTTACAATGAAATGATTCTGCACAGTAAGATCAGTTACAGTTTATAAATGAAACATATGTACATGACAGTAATAAATGTATCAGGTATTAAATACCCGAAATAATGACCAAAACGGATAAACCTTTCTGAAATAGTGTTCAGACAACATATATGTGACTTACTTGTAGGTTCTGCTGTTTGAGACTCGGTTGTAAAAGTGCTTGTACTGGCAGGAGATGCTGAAATATTTAGATGCATTAGAAAATAGAAACTTGATTTTGAGTAGTACAAAAATGCTTAAAAATAGACTTTTGCAGTTGTAGTGTAAATGTTGTAAAATGTATACTGCAACAAATGTTAGAATAGAATATGAACGCCTAAATACATTCTTCAAAATCATTTTCATGTAGTGTCCTGCTTTGTCACTGTGATGAGATATTCACTGTTAGCATTGTAGGCTTCTGTATTAAATGTAACTAAAGGTCAGATTATTTTGACAAAAAAAATAAATAAATGAACAAACAAAGGTGAATTTAACCATTGTACATGTTTAAAAAACTCACTTGAAGGAGCTGATGTTGGAGACACAGTTGATGGAGAGTTTGTTGTGGCAGAGGCTGCTGGGACATTTTGATTAATAAATAGACTTAGTTTTCACCACACAAGTATTCAGACAACTGTGCATATATATTAAACATACTTGTGGGTTCTGCTGTTTGAGATTCAGTTGTAGAAGAGCTTGCACTGGCAGTGAATTTCATCTTTATCATCTGGTAATGTACAGTAAGTGTTGGGACTGAAGCAGCTAATATTCATTTACACTGACGAGGGGCAGGGTTGCTGAATAACTACTGAGAGATTTCAGCTGCTGTCTGAGCTTTCCATGTCTTTTTACATATCACTTACTTCTTGTGCTCAACACTTTTCCCGTGCGTCATTTCATTTTATTAAACTTCTAATGATGCTAGATATATTTTAATTCCCACATTAAACTGTTCACACAGTAGTCCATGAATAAAATCACTCACTTGAAGCAGCTGATGTTGGAGACACAGTTGATGGAGAGTTTGTTGTGGCAAAGCCTGCTGGAACATTTTGATTAAAAAATAGACTGTTTCTATCAAAACAGTATTTAAAAAAACTGTACATATCTATGACTTACTTGTAGGTTCAACTGTTTGAAACTCAGTTGTAGAAAAGCTTGTACTGGCAGAGGATGCTAAAATATATAGATGTATAAAAAACAGAAATAATATTGCACAAAATCACAAACATTGTATTTAAAAAATGAACAGATATTCACATATGAGTAGTGCCCTTACAAAAATAGCATATCACGACAGTCCTAATATAAAGACGGTAGAATTCCAACAACTCTACTTAAGCTGGAAAATTCTCATAATTTCCCAATTAAAATGTTCACACAATAGTCCATTACATAAATAACTCACTTGATGGAGCTGATGTTGCAGACACAGTTGATGAAGAATTTGTTGTAGCAGAGGCTGCTGGGAAATTTTTGAGGAAAAAGTTACAATTTCCATCACAACCGTTTTCAATAAACTGTACATATATATTACTTACTTGTAGGTGCTGCTGTTTGAGTCTCAGTTGTAGATGAGCTTGTACTGGCAGGAGATGCTGAAATATTTTAGATTTATTTATAAAAAAAAATAGAAAATTCATTTTGACTAAAACATATCTCTAAAATTTCATAGCTTTGAATTTTAATACACTACAGGTTTCATGATAAAGCATTTAGACAACTCCACATATATATTTCTTACTTGTAGGTTCTGCTGTTTGAGTCTCAGTTATAGAAGAGCTTGTACTGACAGTAGATGCTGAAATATTTAGATAATATATTTAAGAAATAGAAACTTTATTTTGAGTGTAAGAAAATGCCTAAAAATACACTTTTGCATGCCAGAAAAATGTTGTACTCCAACAAATAGAATAAAATATAACTTCAACTATAAACGGCTCAAATACATTGTTCACATGTAAACACTGTTTATACTGTACAAAACCATTATCATATAGTTTCATATTTTGTCACTGTGATAAGATACTGATTGTTAGCATTTTAGGCTTCTACATTAAATGTATCTATTTGTTTTGTATGCAAATGTCTGATTCTTTTGGCAAATAATTTAATAAATGAACAAACAAAAGTCAATATTTTTTATAGACCAGCTTGAAATGATGATGATGGCTAATGCTGTATATATGGCAGTAAGCAGCGAAGGAGACCAAAAGTTGCTATGTTTGGCTAAGACAAGCTTCATGTGACCATGTTAGTGTTAGTGTTACAGGTTATCCAACGGTAAGAAAACAGACATCTTAAGTGAGAAAATCTGTCATTGTCTTGCTGAAATGTCCACACTAGTTTAATCTTAATCATCTGGGGCCTCATGTACGAAGACTTGCGTGGAAATCATACTAAAACATTGCGTACGCACAAAGCTGTAAATGTGCGTACGCAGAAAAAAATTCAGATATATGAAACACTGCGTACGCCGAATCTCACGCATATTCTTTTGTACATCTGAGTGAACGTGAAACTGAACGCAACATGCACGAGCACAAAACCCCTCCCTGCCTCCTCCCCCGTATGAATATGCTAATGACTCTACTTTGGCAAAACCCAACGAAAAAGCAATGACAAAAGCAAGCAAGAAGAGAAACTTTGAACAGAATGTGAATTGGAGGTGCTGCTTTCGGAGGTAGACCGGAGAAAAGCGGTGTTATTTGCAAGTTTGTTCTCCGGAATTAACAACAAAAGAAAAAAATAGAGTGGGAGAGTTTAGCTGATGCGGTTAACACAGTTGGGTCTGAATATCGGAAAGAGTGAAGGAAATAATGTGGTTTATAGGTGTAAAATGTTGCAGTAACTTTAACAGTCTAAGTGGCGCACCTTGTAAGACGCATGTCAACATGTTTTGACACATTCGAGCATGAACTCGGTTCGAATCCAGCGTCTGATGACCTCTTTCTTCTTTTTTCCCCCGCTACATATCAGATTTTGCCAACTTTTTATCACGAGAAAGACAAGTAGGAATCATTAATAAGTTTGTGCATCATATTTTATTTGCACATTTATCGAATAGAAATGTTTCTGATTCACGCATGCAAATTCATCTTCAGATAATGTCTTTATAGCAATGTGCGTGCAGTAGATAGCTCAGATTACATTGGGAAAACAGGAGACCGCTGCAAATTGTGCTTTAAGGTTTAGCTGGTCAACTGTATGGTATGGAAACCTTATATACCTGCTAGATGAACCCGTCTCATACAGCTGCCATTGCAAGGCTCAGACACTTTGTAGAGAGGAATTTAACACAACTGCCTCTAGGAGTCGCCAATGAAAATAAAACAGACACGCACAAAAAATGTACGCGTACGCCAGCTGGCGTGGGGCTGCGCACATTCCCATATTCAGTTTATCGTTATTAAATCCAAACGTGAGCGATTCTGAGCATGAAACCTGGCGTACGCAAAGTTTTTGTGCGTACGCAGCCTTGATACATGAGGCCCCTGGTCAATTAGGTGTTGGGACTGAAGCAGCTAATATTCAATTACACTGACAAGGGGCAGGGTTGTTTTTTAACAAATAGATTTCAGCTGCTCTCTGAGCTTTCCATGTCTTTTCACATCTCACTTTTCTCATGTGTTCAACCCTTTTACCATGTGTCATTTTATTTTAGTAAACCTCTAATTAAGCTGCATATATTTTCATTTCCACTTTACAATATTCACACAATAGTCTATAAGTAATAAACAATAAAGTCCATAAATTAAAAACTCACTTAAAGGAGCTGATGTTGGAGACACAGTTGATGGAGAGTTTGTTGTAGCAGAGACTGCTGGGACATCATGACAGGAACATATTTCTTATTATTCCAGATACTAATACTTGATTGCTCAGAAGGTGATTTGAAACACCCGAACTGCTGATTATTAAAATTATATACATAAATTATAATATCATTACTTACTTGTAGGTTCTGCTGTTTGAGACTCAGTTGTGGAAGAGCTTGTACTGACAGGAGATGCTAAAGTATTCACATGTATTAAAAACAGAAACAATATTGCACAAAATCAATTAAGGTGCAAAAATCAATTAATTAAGCCCATACAAAAATATAATATCATAGGTCATGACAGACACCTCTATTTAAACTGGACCTATACTTATCACTTCCCAATTAAAATGTTCACACAATGGTCAATGAATTAAACACTCACTTGAAGCAGCTGATGTTGGAGACACAGTTGATGGAGAGTTTGTTGTGGCAGAGGCTGCTGGGACATTGTGATAAAACAAATATAATTTTCTTACGTTTGTTGACATGTTTACAGAAACATTTTTGTTACAATGAAATGATTCTGCACAGTAAGATCAGTTACAGTTTATAAATGAAACATATGTACATGACAGTAATAAATGTATCAGGTATTAAATACCTGAAATAATGACCAAAACGGTTAAACCTTTCTGAAATAGTGTTCAGACAACATTTATGTGACTTACTTGTAGGTTCTGCTGTTTGAGACTCGGTTGTAAAAGTGCTTGTACTGGCAGGAGATGCTGAAATATTTAGATGCATTAGAAAATAGAAACTTGATTTTGAGTAGTACAAAAATGCTTAAAAATACACTTTTGCAGTTGTAGTGTAAATGTTGTAAAATGTATACTGCAACAAATGTTAGAATAGAATATGAACGCCTAAATACATTCTTCAAAATCATTTTCATGTAGTGTCCTGCTTTGTCACTGTGATGAGATATTCACTGTTAGCATTGTAGGCTTCTGTATTAAACGTAACTAAAGGTCAGATTATTTTTGACAAAAAAAATAAATAAATGAACAAACAAAGGTGAATTTAACCATTGTACATGTTTAAAAAACTCACTTGAAGGAGCTGATGTTGGAGACACAGTTGATGGAGAGTTTGTTGTGGCAGAGGCTGCTGGGACATTTTGATTAATAAATAGACTTAGTTTTCACCACACAAGTATTCAGACAACTGTGCATATATATTAAACTTACTTGTAGGTTCTGCTGTTTGAGATTCAGTTGTAGAAGAGCTTGCACTGGCAGTGAGTGCTGAAATATATCGATAATATATTAGAAAATGGAAACTTAATTTTGAGTAGTACTGAAATGCTTAAAAATACACGTTTGCAGTTGTACTGTAAATGTTGTAAATAGAAAATCTGTCATTGTCTTGCTTAAATGTCCACCCTGGTTTCATCTTCATCATCTGGTAATGTAAGTGTTGGCACTGAAGCAGCTAATATTCATTTACACTGACGAGGGGCAGGGTTGCTGAATAACTACTGAGAGATTTCATCTGCTGCCTGAGCTTTCCATGTCTTTTTACATATCACTTACTTCTTGTGCTCAACACTTTTCCCGTGCGTCATTTCATTTTATTAAACTTCTAATTAAGCTAGATATATTTTAATTCCTACATTAAACTGTTCACACAGTAGTCCATGAATAAAATCACTCACTTGAAGGAGCTGATGTTGGAGACACAGTTGATGGAGAGTTTGATGTGGCAGAAGCTGCTGGAACATTTGGATGGAAAATTGAGCTACAAATTTCAAATTTCAAATTCCAACACCTCGTATTAAGGTGGACTTATAATTATAATTTTCCAATTTGAATGTTCACTTAATAATCCATGAATTAAAAAACTCACTTGAAGCAGCTGATGTTGGAGACACAGTTGATGGAGAGTTTGTTGTGGCAGAGCCTGCTGGGACATTTTGATTAAAAAATAGACTGTTTCCATCAAAACAGTATTTAAAAAACTGTACATATTTATGACTTACTTGTAGGTTCAACTGTTTGAAACTCAGTTGTAGAAAAGCTTGTACTGGCAGGGGATGCTAAAATATACAGATGTATTAAAAACAGAAATAATATTGCACAAAATCATAAACATTGTATTTAAAAAATGAACAGATATTCACATATGAGTAGTGCCCTTACAAAAATAGCATATCACGACAGTCCTAATATAAAGACAGTAGAATTCCAACAACTCTACCTAAGCTGGAAATATACTCATAATTTCCCAATTAAAATGTTCACACAATAGTCCATTACTAAAAAACTCACTTGATGGAGCTGATGTTGCAGACACAGTTGATGAAGAGTTTGTTGTAGCAGAGGCTGCTGGGAAATTTTTGAGGAAAAAGTTACAATTTCCATCACAACCGTTTTCAATAAACTGTACATATATATTACTTACTTGTAGGTGCTGCTGTTTGAGTCTCAGTTGTAGATGAGCTTGTACTGGCAGGAGATGCTGAAAGATTTTAGATTTATTAAAAAAAAAAAAATAGAAACTTCATTTTGACTAAAACATATCTCTAAAATTTCATAGCTTTGAATTTTAATACACTACAGGTTTCATGATAAAGCATTTAGACAACTCCACATATATATTTCTTACTTGTAGGTTCTGCTGTTTGAGTCTCAGTTATAGAAGAGCTTGTACTGACAGTAGATGCTGAAATATTTAGATAATATATTAAAAAAATAGAAACTTTATTTTGAGTGTAAGAAAATGCCTAAAAATAAACTTCTGCATGCCAGAAAAATGTTGTACTCCAACAAATAGAATAAAATATAACTTCAACTATAAACGGCTCAAATACATTGTTCACATGTAAACACTGTTTATACTGTACAAAACCATTATCATATAGTTTCATATTTTGTTACTGCAATAAGATACTGATTGTTAGCATTTTAGGCTTCTACATTAAATGTATCTATTTGTTTTGTATGCAAATGTCTGATTCTTATGACAAATAATTTAATAAATGAACAAACAAAAGTCAATATTTTTTTATAGACCAGCTTGAAATGATGATGATGGCTAACGCTGTATATATGGCAGTAAGCAGCGAAGGAGACCAAAAGTTGCTATGTTTGGATAAGACATGCTTCATGTGACCATGTTAGTGTTAGTGTTAAAGGTTATCCAATGTTAAGAAAACAGACATCTTAAGTGAGAAAATCTGGCATTGTCTTGCTGAAATGTCCACACTAGTTTAATCTTAATCATCTGGTCATGTAGGTGTTGGGACTGAAGCAGCTAATATTCATTTACACTGACATGGGGCAGGGTTGTTTTTTAACTAATAGATTTCAGCTGCTCTCTGAGCTTTCCATGTCTTTTCACACCTCACTTTTCTCATGTGTTCAACACTTTTTCCCATGTGTCATTTTATTTTAGTACACCACTAATTAAGCTGGATATATTTTCATTTCCACTTTACAATATTCACACAATAGTCCATAAGTAATAAACAATAAAGTCCAAAATTAAACACTCACTTGAAGCAGCTGATGTTGGAGACACAGTTGATGGAGAGTTTGTTGTGGCAGAGGCTGCTGGGACATTGTGATAAAACAAATATAATTTCCTTACGTTTGTTGACATGTTTACAGAAACATTTTTGTTACAAGGAAATGATTCTGCACAGCAAGATCAGTTAAAGTTTATAAATGAAACATATGTACATAACAGTAATAAATGTATCAGGTATTAAATACCCGAAATAATGACCAAAACAGTTAAACCTTTCTGAAATAGTGTTCAGACAACATATATGTGACTTACTTGTAGGTTCTGCTGTTTGAGACTCGGTTGTAAAAGTGCTTGTACTGGCAGGAGATGCTGAAATATTTAGATGCATTAGAAAATAGAAACTTGATTTTGAGTAGTACAAAAATGCTTAAAAATACACTTTTGCAGTTGTAGTGTAAATGTTGTAAAATGTATACTGCAACAAATGTTACAATAGAATATGAACGCCTAAATACATTCTTCAAAATCATTTTCATGTAGTGTCCTGCTTTGTCACTGTGATGAGATATTCACTGTTAGCATTGTAGGCTTCTGTATTAAACGTAACTAAAGGTCAGATTATTTTTGACAAAAAAAATAAATAAATGAACAAACAAAGGTGAATTTAACCATTGTACATGTTTAAAAAACTCACTTGAAGGAGCTGATGTTGGAGACACAGTTGATGGAGAGTTTGTTGTGGCAGAGGCTGCTGGGACATTTTGATTAATAAATAGACTTAGTTTTCACCACACAAGTATTCAGACAACTGTGCATATATATTAAACTTACTTGTAGGTTCTGCTGTTTGAGATTCAGTTGTAGAAGAGCTTGCACTGGCAGTGAGTGCTGAAATATATCGATAATATATTAGAAAATGGAAACTTAATTTTGAGTAGTACTGAAATGCTTAAAAATACACGTTTGCAGTTGTACTGTAAATGTTGTAAATAGAAAATCTGTCATTGTCTTGCTTAAATGTCCACCCTGGTTTCATCTTCATCATCTGGTAATGTAAGTGTTGGCACTGAAGCAGCTAATATTCATTTACACTGACGAGGGGCAGGGTTGCTGAATAACTACTGAGAGATTTCAGCTGCTGTCTGAGCTTTTCATGTCTTTTTACATATCACTTACTTCTTGTGCTCAACACTTTTCCCGTGCGTCATTTCATTTTATTAAATTTCTAATTAAGCTAGATATATTTTAATTCCCACATTAAACTGTTCACAAAATAGTCCATGAATAAAATCACTCACTTGAAGGAGCTGATGTTGGAGACACAGTTGATGGAGAGTTTGATGTGGCAGAAGCTGCTGGGACATTTGGATGGAAAATTGAGCTACAAATTTCAAATTTCAAATTTCAACACCTCGTATTAAGGTAGACTTATAATTATAATTTTCCAATTTAAATGTTCACTTAATAATCCATGAATTAAAAAACTCACTTGAAGCAGCTGATGTTGGAGACACAGTTGATGTAGAGTTTGTTGTGGCAGAGCCTGCTGGGACATTTTGATTAAAAAATAGACTGTTTCCATCAAAACAGTATTTAAAAAAACTTTACATATCTATGACTTACTTGTAGGTTCAACTGTTTGAAACTCAGTTGTAGAAAAGCTTGTACTGGCAGGGGATGCTAAAATATATAGATGTATTAAAAACAGAAATAATATTGCACAAAATCATAAACATTGTATTTAAAAAATGAACAGATATTCACATATGAGTAGTGCCCTTACAAAAATAGCATATCACGACAGTCCTAATATAAAGACAGTAGAATTCCAACAACTCTACCTAAGCTGGAAATATACTCATAATTTCCCAATTAAAATGTTCACACAATAGTCCATTACTAAAAAACTCACTTGATGGAGCTGATGTTGCAGACACAGTTGATGAAGAGTTTGTTGTAGCAGAGGCTGCTGGGAAATTTTTGAGGAAAAAGTTACAATTTCCATCACAACCGTTTTCAATAAACTGTACATATATATTACTTACTTGTAGGTGCTGCTGTTTGAGTCTCAGTTGTAGATGAGCTTGTACTGGCAGGAGATGCTGAAATATTTTAGATTTATTTATAAAAAAAAAATAGAAACTTCATTTTGACTAAAACATATCTCTAAAATTTCATAGCTTTGAATTTTAATACACTACAGGTTTCATGATAAAGCATTTAGACAACTCCACATATATATTTCTTACTTGTAGGTTCTGCTGTTTGAGTCTCAGTTATAGAAGAGCTTGTACTGACAGTAGATGCTGAAATATTTAGATAATATATTTAAGAAATAGAAACTTTATTTTGAGTGTAAGTAAATGCCTAAAAATAAACTTTTGCATGCCAGAAAAATGTTGTACTCCAACAAATAGAATAAAATATAACTTCAACTATAAACGGCTCAAATACATTGTTCACATGTAAACACTGTTTATACTGTACAAAACCATTATCATATAGTTTCATATTTTGTTACTGCAATAAGATACTGATTGTTAGCATTTTAGGCTTCTACATTAAATGTATCTATTTGTTTTGTATGCAAATGTCTGATTCTTATGACAAATAATTTAATAAATGAACAAACAAAAGTCAATATTTTTTTATAGACCAGCTTGAAATGATGATGATGGCTAACGCTGCATATATTGCAGTAAGCAGCGAAGGAGACCAAAAGTTGCTATGTTTGGCTAAGACATGCTTCATGTGACCATGTTAGTGTTAGTGTTAAAGGTTATCCAACGGTAAGAAAACAGACATCTTAAGTGAGAAAATCTGTCATTGTCTTGCTGAAATGTCCACACTAGTTTAATCTTAATCATCTGGTCATGTAGGTGTTGGGACTGAAGCAGCTAATATTCATTTACACTGACATGGGGCAGGGTTGTTTTTTAACTAATAGATTTCAGCTGCTCTCTGAGCTTTCCATGTCTTTTCACATCTCACTTTTCTCATGTGTTCAACACTTTTCCCATGTGTCATTTTATTTTAGTACACCACTAATTAAGCTGGATATATTTTCATTTCCACTTTACAATATTCACACAATAGTCCATAAGTAATAAACAATAAAGTCCAAAATTAAACACTCACTTGAAGCAGCTGATGTTGGAGACACAGTTGATGGAGAGTTTGTTGTAGCAGAGACTGCTGGGACATCATGACAGGAACATATTTCTTATTATTGCAGATACTAATACTTGATTGCTCAGAAGGTGATTTGAAACACCCGAACTGCTGATTATTAAAATTATATACATAAATTATAATATCATTACTTACTTGTAGGTTCTGCTGTTTGAGACTCAGTTGTGGAAGAGCTTGTACTGGGATGGGATGCTAAAGTATTTACATGTATTAAAAACAGAAACAATATTGCACAAAATCAATTAAGGTGCAAAAATCAATTAATTAAGCCCTTACTAAAATATAATATCATAGGTCATGATAGACACCTCTATTTAAACTGGACCTATACTTATCACTTCCCAATTAAAATGTTCACACAATGGTCAATGAATTAAACACTCACTTGAAGCAGCTGATGTTGGAGACACAGTTGATGGAGAGTTTGTTGTGGCAGAGGCTGCTGGGACATTGTGATAAAACAAATATAATTTCCTTACGTTTGTTGACATGTTTGCAGAAACATTTTTGTTACAATGAAATGATTCTGCACAGCAAGATCAGTTAAAGTTTATAAATGAAACATATGTACATAACAGTAATAAATGTATCAGGTATTAAATACCCGAAATAATGACCAAAACGGTTAAACCTTTCTGAAATAGTGTTCAGACAACATATATGTGACTTACTTGTAGGTTCTGCTGTTTGAGACTCGGTTGTAAAAGTGCTTGTACTGGCAGGAGATGCTGAAATATTTAGATGCATTAGAAAATAGAAACTTGATTTTGAGTAGTACAAAAATGCTTAAAAATAGACTTTTGCAGTTGTAGTGTAAATGTTGTAAAATGTATACTGCAACAAATGTTAGAATAGAATATGAACGCCTAAATACATTCTTCAAAATCATTTTCATGTAGTGTCCTGCTTTGTCACTGTGATGAGATATTCACTGTTAGCATTGTAGGCTTCTGTATTAAACGTAACTAAAGGTCAGATTATTTTTGACAAAAAAAATAAATAAATGAACAAACAAAGGTGAATTTAACCATTGTACATGTTTAAAAAACTCACTTGAAGGAGCTGATGTTGGAGACACAGTTGATGGAGAGTTTGTTGTGGCAGAGGCTGCTGGGACATTTTGATTAATAAATAGACTTAGTTTTCACCACACAAGTATTCAGACAACTGTGCATATATATTAAACTTACTTGTAGGTTCTGCTGTTTGAGATTCAGTTGTAGAAGAGCTTGCACTGGCAGTGAGTGCTGAAATATATCGATAATATATTAGAAAATGGAAACTTAATTTTGAGTAGTACTGAAATGCTTAAAAATACACGTTTGCAGTTGTACTGTAAATGTTGTAAATAGAAAATCTGTCATTGTCTTGCTTAAATGTCCACCCTGGTTTCATCTTCATCATCTGGTAATGTAAGTGTTGGGACTGAAGCAGCTAATATTCATTTACACTGACGAGGGGCAGGGTTGCTGAATAACTACTGAGAGATTTCATCTGCTGCCTGAGCTTTTCATGTCTTTTTACATATCACTTACTTCTTGTGCTCAACACTTTTCCCGTGCGTCATTTCATTTTATTAAACTTCTAATTAAGCTAGATATATTTTAATTCCTACATTAAACTGTTTACACAGTAGTCCATGAATAAAATCACTCACTTGAAGGAGCTGATGTTGGAGACACAGTTGATGGAGAGTTTGATGTGGCAGAAGCTGCTGGAACATTTGGATGGAAAATTGAGCTACAAATTTCAAATTTCAAATTTCAACACCTCGTATTAAGGTGGACTTATAATTATAATTTTCCAATTTAAATGTTCACTTAATAATCCATGAATTAAAAAACTCACTTGAAGCAGCTGATGTTGGAGACACAGTTGATGGAGAGTTTGTTGTGGCAGAGCCTGCTGGGACATTTTGATTAAAAAATAGACTGTTTCCATCAAAACAGTATTTAAAAAAACTTTACATATCTATGACTTACTTGTAGGTTCAACTGTTTGAAACTCAGTTGTAGAAAAGCTTGTACTGGCAGAGGATGCTAAAATATATAGATGTATTAAAAACAGAAATAATATTGCACAAAATCACAAACATTTTATTTAAAAATGAACAGATATTCACATATGAGTAGTGCCCTTACAAAAATAGCATATCACGACAGTCCTAATATAAAGACAGTAGAATTCCAACAACTCTACCTAAGCTGGAAATATACTCATAATTTCCCAATTAAAATGTTCACACAATAGTCCATTACTAAAAAACTCACTTGATGGAGCTGATGTTGCAGACACAGTTGATGAAGAGTTTGTTGTAGCAGAGGCTGCTGGGAAATTTTGAGGAAAAAAGTTACAATTTCCATCACAACCGTTTTCAATAAACTGTACATATATATTACTTACTTGTAGGTGCTGCTGTTTGAGTCTCAGTTGTAAATGAGCTTGTACTGGCAGGAGATGCTGAAAGATTTTAGATTTATTTAAAAAAAAAAATAGAAACTTCATTTTGACTAAAACATATCTCTAAACTTTGATAGCTTTGAATTTTAATACACTACAGGTTTCATGATAAAGCATTTAGACAACTCCACATATATATTTTTTACTTGTAGGTTCTGCTGTTTGAGTCTCAGTTATAGAAGAGCTTGTATACTGACAGTAGATGCTGAAATATTTAGATAATATATTAAGAAAATAGAAACTTTATTTTGAGTGTAAGAAAATGCCTAAAAATACACTTTTGCATGCCAGAAAAATGTTGTACTACAAAAAAATAGAATAAAATATAACTTCAACTATAAACGGCTCAAATACATTGTTCACATGTAAACACTATTTATACTGTTAAAAAAACCATTATCATATAGTTTCATATTTTGTCACTGCAATAAGATACGGATTGTTAGCATTTTAGGCTTCTACATTAAATGTATCTATTTGTTTTGTATGCAAATGTCTGATTCTTATGACAAATAATTTAATAAATGAACAAACAAAAGTCAATATTTTTTTATAGACCAGCTTGAAATGATGATGATGGCTAATGCTGCATATATGGCAGTAAGCAGCGAAGGAGACCAAACGTTGCTATGTTTGGCTAAGACATGCTTCATGTGACCATGTTAGTGTTAGTGTTAAAGGTTATCCAATGTTAAGAAAACAGACATCTTAAGTGAGAAAATCTGGCATTGTCTTGCTGAAATGTCCACACTAGTTTAATCTTAATCATCTGGTCATGTAGGTGTTGGGACTGAAGCAGCTAATATTCATTTACACTGACATGGGGCAGGGTTGTTTTTTAACTAATAGATTTCAGCTGCTCTCTGAGCTTTCCATGTCTTTTCACACCTCACTTTTCTCATGTGTTCAACACTTTTACCATGTGTCATTTTATTTTAGTACACCACTAATTAAGCTGGATATATTTTCATTTCCACTTTACAATATTCACACAATAGTCCATAAGTAATAAACAATAAAGTCCATAAATTAAAAACTCACTTGAAGGAGCTGATGTTGGAGACACAGTTGATGGAGAGTTTGTTGTGGAACTGGCTGCTGGGACATTTTGATGGAAAATTAAGCCACAGTTTCCACCACAACACTATCACAACAGTATTCAGACAGAACTACAATATATATATATATATATATATATATATATATATATATATATATATTACTTACTTGTAGGTTCTGCTGTTTGAGACTCAGTTGTAGGAGAACTTGTAAATGCAGGAGATGCTGAAATATTTAAATGTATTAAAACAATAGTGCACAAAATCACATAATTCTAATTAAGTCAGACCTACAATTATCATTTCCCCTTAAAATGATCACACAATAATAACTTACATGAAGGAGTGGATGTTGGATACACAGTTGATGGAGAGTTTGTTGTGGCAAAGACTGCTGGGACATTTAATAAAAAAATTATTACACTTTCCTTATCCTTGTTGACATGTTTATAGATTTTTTTACTATAAAATTTTGCATTGCAAGAACAGTTACAATTTATAAAATGCATATATAAACACAATAGTATTCAGACAACTCTACATATTTACTACTTACTTGTAGGTTCTGCTGTTTGAGTTGTTGAAGGGCTTGTACTTGCAGGTGGTGCTGAAATATTTAGATGTATTAAAAAATAGAATCTTAAATTTGAGTCCTACAAAATGAGCATTTTGCGCAAAACCATTATCATATAGTGTCATACTTTGTCACTGTGCTATGATACTGTAACAGGGTTTCCGCTACATTCATTCTGCCATGGCAAGGCGCCAATCCAAATTTCATCCCCCCAAGGCTACATTACAGCTTCTCATTCATAACATTCAGTAATTGTTGTTGTTGTTTTTTAACAGCAGGTTATAATTGCACCAAAACACAGTAAAAGGTAAGTGAATTATAACAGTGCAAGCCAGGCCCGGATTGGTTAATCAGGAGGATCGGGAGAATTCCTGGTGGGCCGGTCCGTTTTTTGGCCGTGAGGGCCGGTGTCCCTATAGCTCCAGACTCTGTTGCTCTCAGCAGTCACACTTTTTTCATTTATTTATTTATTTGACCACAGCCTCACTCTTTTCATTCATTATGTTGCTGCAGCTCTGCTCTTTTTTATCTATTTTCTTGTAGCCCCGTGACCAAGGTGCAGCCTGCAGGTTACTGATGATACAACTCAGATAAATCACTACATTCTACAAACTATTGTGGTCCAGAGGTCAGCATGTCGCGTTATGTCGCCGCCGACCCGAGTTCGAATCTCATCTTAATAGTTAATAATTTTTTTTAATGTCATTTTTATTGTTTTATTGTTAAGAATATAAAACTGTAAGATTGTTGAACATTTGAATTTCTGTTTTCTAGAAAAAGATGTGATAGTGTCATTAAAAACTGAATTGGAAATGGCCTTATTTTAATATAGTCAGTCGTTAACTAAGGGTGGGCCGGTCTAAGGCTTGAAACTCCAGGGCTGAAGAGGAGTCCCACTCCGGCCCTGGTGCAAGCTTTTTTGTAACCGCAGTAGTGCTGTGCGTTATTTGTTTAACCCTTTAAGATGACGTGTTGAAAGACTGACCAACTAACTGACAGGTTTGTGATGCGTGAGGCCAGCAAACACGACGTAGCTTTTAGATAAGATGAACACAGTTTCCATTGTTATACTTTGTTTATAGATAAAGGTCTGTGGTTCTGTGTACAATGACTTTATCTCGCTGGAGTTTAATGCTGTTTCACTTTACTTCAAGACGTATTAATGCCGCTCTGTAGGTCTATTGAATACATTCATAAATCTTCCAAGCAAATATTATAAATGTGGGAGACACACTTGTTATATAAACGCACTAAATCACACTTCAGCAGCGTTTATTTGAGAGCGCACAAGAAGATCTGTGCTTGAGCAGCGTATATTTGAGGGCGTGCAAGAAGTTTTGTGCATGAACAGAGGAAATCGACGCGCAAGCAAAGAGATTTGCATGCTCTTAAAGCATGAATGCGATCTCGACTTGTAATATTGCACTCACGACATTTCTCCATTTGTCATTGAAATAAAGCCATAGGTAGTTGGTAGATTTGTGTAAGACCTGCCGCCACAGCTCGAAAAAAATCCTACAGGAAACACTGTGTATGATTTGAAATACCTGGTCAAATGATTATTAAAATTTACATTAAGATCTAATTAAGGTGGATCTTAAATTCTCGTTTCCCCATTAAAATGTTCACACAATAGTCCATGAATTAAAAACTCACTTGAAGCAGCTGATGTTGGAGACACAGTTGATGAAGGGTTTGTTGTGGCAGAGGCTGCTGAGAGATTTTGATAAAACAAATATAGTTTCCTTATATTTGTTGACATGTTTACAGAAACTTTTGTTACAATGAAATGATTCTGCACAGCAAGATCAGTTACAGTTCATAAAATAAACACATAACCATAACAGTAATAAAGGTATCAGGTAGTAACTTTTCTGAAATAGTGTTCAGACAACATATTTACAGACTTACTTGTAGGTTCTGCTGTTGGAGACTCGGCTGTAGAAGAGCTTGTACTGGCAGGAGATGCTGAAATATTTAGATGTATTACAAATAGAATAGAATAGGACTTCAACTATAAACTGCTTAAATACCTTCTTCAAAATCATTATCATATAGTTGTTACATCCATCAGTGACCACCTGAGGGCGCTGTAGTGCATCAGGACTCAGTTATCACTACAGCGTCCCAGAAAGACTACAATCCCATACATACCACGTGCATACACCGGAACACTTACACTGACCCATCATCTCATCTGTTCTGTGTTACCGTTGATTATCTGGACTATTTATACAACCATTTTACCTCTGTTTTGCATCGCGTCGTTTGTCTACATTGTCTACCTTGTCTTTCTTGTTAACAGTTTTCAGTAAATCTGTTATTCCGAGTTTTTATTCCTGATCTTGTTTTTGTATTTTTTGCTAAATTCTAGTTTGTAGAGTTATTGTTTTTGAGCCTTGTCTCTGTTTTAGTTTCTGGTTTTGTCGTTTGTTTGTTACTTTGCATTTTGATCACCTTGTTTTGTTTCACTGTAAATAAATATCTGCACTTGGATCTGCACCTTTTTGTTCTGTTTTGATCACGCAAACGTGACAATAGTCTCATGTTTTGTCACTGTGATGAGATATTATTGACTGTTTTAGGCTTCTCTATTACCTGTAGGTGTAACTAAATGTCTATTTTCTTTTGACTTAAAATATATAAATAAATAAATGTAGATTTGACTATAGTCCATGAAAAAAAAACTCACTTGAAGCAGCTGATGTTGGAGACACAGTTGATGGAGAGTTTGTTGTGGCAGAGACTGCTGGGACATTTTGATTAAAAAATAGACTAAGTTTCCATCAAAACAGTGTTTAAAAAATGTACATGTTTATGACTTACTTGTAGGTTCAACTGTTTGAAACTCAGTTGTAGAAAAGCTTGTACTGGCAGGAGATGCTAAAATATATAGATGTATTAAAAACAGAAACAAAATTGCACACAATCACAAACATTGTATTTAAATAATGAACAAATAAGTAGTGCCCTTACAAAAACAGCATATCATGACAGTCTTAATATAAAGACAGTAGAATTCCGACAACTCTACTTAAGCCTGAAAAATTCTCATAATTTCCCAATTAAAATGTTCACACAATAGTCCATTAAATAACAAAAACTCACTTGATGGAGCTGATGTTGCAGACACAGTTGATGGAGAGTTTGTTGTAGCAGAGGCTGCTGGGACATTTTGAGAAAAAAGTTACAATTTCCATCACAACCGTTTCCAATAAACTGTATATATAAATGACGTACTTGTAGGTTCTGCTGTTTGAGTCTCAGTTGTAGAGGAGCTTGTACTGACAGTAGATGCTGAAATATTTAGATAATTTATTAGAAAATGGAAACCTAATTTTGAGCCGTAAGAAAATGCTTTAAAATTCACTCTTGCGTGCCATAAAATGTTGTACTCCAACAAATGTTAGAATAGAATATGCTTATAACTATAAACGGCTTAAATACATTCTTTAGATGTAAACTCTGTGCATACTGTACAAAACCATTATCATATAGTGTCATATTTTGTCACTGTAATAAGATACGGATTGTTAGCATTTTAGGCTTCTACATTAAATGTACCTATTTGTTTTATATGCAAATGTCTGATTCTTTTAGCAAAACAAATAAATTAACAAACAAAGGTGAAAGGTAAGCATATTTTTGTAGGCAAGCTTGAAATGAAAATGATGGCTAATGCTGCCTATATTGCAGTAAGCAGCGAAGGAGAATTAAAGTTGCTATGTTTGGCTAAGATATGCTTCATGTGACCATGTTAGTGTTAGTGTTACAGGTTATCCAACAGTAAGAAAACAGACATCTTAAGTGAGAAAATCTGTCATTGTCTTGCTGAAATGTCCACCCTGGTTTCATCTTAATAATCTGGTCATGTAGGTGTTGGGACTGAAGCAGCTCATATTCATTTACACTGTGAAGGGACAGGACTGCTGAATAACTACTGAGAGATTTTACTTCTGTCTGGGCTTTCCGTGTTTTTTTACATCTCTCTTTCTTTATGTGTTCAACTGTTTTTTTCCTGTCATTTCATTTTATTACACCAAAGCTAGATAGATATTTTTTTATTTATTCATTCATTCATTTTCTTGTCGGCTTAGTCCCTTTATTAATCCGGGGTTACCACAGCGGAATGACCTGGCAACTTATCCAGCACGTTTTTTACGCAGCGGATGCCCTTCCAGCCACCATCCATCTCTGGGAAACATCCTCACTCAAACAGTCATACACTACGGACAGTTTAGCCTACCCAATTCACTTGTACCGCATGTCTTTGGACTTGTGGGGGAAACCGGAGCAC